GGAGGGAAACAAAATATTGACTACTTCCTTATCGCTGACATATTTTATCAACGAATTCGACAAAACATTCTCGTCATGTAACATGATTGAATGGTTATTGAGCAATGCGATTGCAGATGAATGAGTCGGTCAGATTATCACTGATTGCCTCTTTAAAGTAGTTGAAATGGGTTGAAAATGGAGTCCATGTAAGCTGAGAGCACAGTAAAACAAACTCAATTGTTTGTAAAACAGGTCAATTCTCAAACTACTTCATTCATTTGACTTTGAGTGCAGTTTTAGGCACACCGATTCAAAATTTGCACAGCTCACCAGTTGTGATAATTGAGAGTTTGTTGATTTAATGGTATCAGTACATACATGTAAATGGTGAAATCAATGAATTCGCGTAAAATAAGAACAACGATTCAAGCATAATAACATGAGTCCGTTATATTCTAGCGATCTCACCTTCACTTGAGCTTGTATGCGTTTATGTTTATTATGCTCATACACGAGTCAGTCACATTGTGACGAAGGAAACGATGGATCTCAATTCAGAGGACTTCATCTGAATAACTTTTATTATTTACTATTTCTCAATGTTATTTTGTACACTTTCATACATTAGTGCATATTTTGTGGTATTTTGTTCAAATTATTAATTTCATGTGTTTCATGTAAGCATATTTGTTATTTGTAATATTTATCAGGTTAGATTACATAAGGATTCATTAAATGATTTATGGATATACAAACATATATTTTGAATTAATGAGGTGATTATATACAACTAATTAACATTAATGTAGTATTTTATTTTCATATTGATGAAAGATTAATAGAAGTTAGAATTTGAAATTTAATGTCGCTTTTTGACATTTTGGCCAAGTACTGATTTACTTACCTACTTGCTCACGCCTTTTACGCCACATGGAGTAGCATTGGATGTCCACCAGCATTCTCTATCAAACTCTGTTCTGAACAATACTTCCTAGTTGTTTCCACTTTCTATTAATTCCTTTCATGTCTGGTTCCTATTCCCGACACTTTGTGTACTTCACCATTCATCTTTTCTGTTTCTTCACAGGATTCCAGGATAGCACACAACTCATGATGTAGTTTGATGATTTCCACAACATATGTCCCACCCACAACTTAGACCGTCATTTTCTAATTTTTTCTTCAGTTGGAAGTTGGATTGTTCTCTCCCACAGTAGGCTGTTGATGATCGAATCTGGCCAACGGACATCTAGTATCTAATGTGGACAATTATTTATTAATACTTGTACATTATTTATGATGGTTGTGGTAGAAGTTCTCAAATTTTCACATCCGTATTGTACAACTACTTGAAGTTCATATTGATGATTCTGAGTTTGATATTGGTTGAAAGACTGTGGTTTTGAGTTCCATATATTCTTCAACTGTAGGAATACCGTCCTTACTTTTCCAACACTGGCCTCTATGTCTCCACCAGATCCTCATTCTTCATCGATCATGCTGATCAGACACGTGAAAGTTTACACCTCGTCCGGAGCTTATCGATCAACAGTGATTGGTTCGGTATTCTCCATGTTATATTTTAGGATCTTGGATTTTCCCTTGTGTATGTTGAAGCCTATTGCTGCAGACAGAGGTTGTTGTTACACTGGTTGTCTTGACCTGTATTTGTTGTTGTGTGTGATATGGAGGATTGAGGTCATTTGTGAAGTTCAAATCGTCCAGTTGTATGCAAGCTGTCTGTAATATACCGTGCTTCCCGTCAGATGTGGACGTCTTTATAATCCAGTCAAACACTAGAAGAAGGAGAAGGGGAGGAGTAAGCAGCCTTGTCTGACTCCAATCCTCACTTGGAATGCATCTGTCAGCTGTCGTCCATGCACGACCTCGCAGTGTAATCCATCGTATGAATTCCGGATCATTTTGAAGGTCTTATCAGGTTATGAGTGTTTACAATATCTGAGTCAAATTGTTAATGAACAGATTTGGAGAATCATATTAATTACATCTCGCTTACTTATCATTTCATCATCTAAAACAATTTGTGAACGTACACCAGATAATCCGAGTGTTTAGAAATTTATATCGATGTTAGAAATATTTGTAATCTCTTTGTTAATCGGAAATGAATTCATTACAGAAGGCTAAAGATAATGAGTGGTAATGACAACACTGTATAACAATAAATTAATCAGCTGGTAAATGTATTGATGATTGTAAGTCAATAAATTGGATTATTACGTTTAGAATAACTTTATCACTGATTGGAATGAAATATATGCTAAAATGATAATCAAATGTAAGCAATCCATAGAAAGGGTTTGGTGAAAATAAATTAACCGTGTTTTGAAGTTCAAAACATTCAATTTCCTGTATAATGATAAGAAATCTTAAGCTTTTAATTCATTCATGTGAATAGAAACCAGGTGATTTACCAGCTTCGTAAGTAATGTTACTTAACTTGGTAATGTATATGAAGCGGATAACAAATATGCTAGATTTGACAGTACTACTGTCTGAAACTTTTTTATTAAAAATGATCCCAAAGCCAATAAATACAAAAGTTGAAGATGAGGAGGATGAAAATTTAACTGAATTATGTTGCGTCATATTCTAATCATAAAATCCATGTGTGTTTTAGAATAGCAAACGTTATAAATACTAGCAAGTTGAATATACCAAATCCGTATGTTATTTTAATGTACAATTTCTACCTGTTGCAATTAGCTTCGTAATTTTAGCTTAGTAAGACGTTGCATCTTAATGTCCATAAGCCATTTTTATTAACGATTTTGAGAGTTTCTTTCTTACACAAAAACAATAATATGCATCAACTGGGTCATTCAATGGCTTTATTGTTTTAATAAAAGCATAGAATCCAACATTTTACTTAAAAACCTAGTCTTTAGATTCTGATATTGCAATACGAACCAGTGAGATCATTATGTTGGGGAGTTTGTGTCCAAACATGTTTTAAAATTTTAGGTAGAGATGAGTTTATTATTTATCCCTTGTGAGTTTCTATGAGTCGAACTGGACAATCTATCCTCGGGTTGAAAAAATTTAATAACACTCCTTATTGACTATGAATGTTGGCTTTGACAGACCTGATAAGAGGCCCAAAACTTAGGAAATAACCAGTCAGATCTAAGTTTGTAACTACTGATTTGGCACACAATTCATTCATTTATATGGCTAAACGGAATTTCGATATTATAGCTGATGTTCGTACGTGATGAAAACCCTGACTCTAATTTTTAACTTCAACGCTTAAAACTAAATCCTAATCCAAATTAACCGCGCTAATTTAAAATTCTATTTTGATTCTTACAGTTGTTGAAGTTACTGAAATGCACTTAATTATAGCCCAAATATCATCCACAAGTTATTGTCTAGATAATACATTTTGTCGTAGAATCAAATGTGTTAGTGGTCAATCAAGCTTCTGATAGCGAAATGAATTTTATATTAGTTTATTTCAGTTGTTGCTATTTCATTCAAATCTATGGACGATATGAGTTATTTGAGATTTTTCATTTTCTGTCATCTCTAATCTAACCATCTTTTGTTACACAGATTATCTTGTTTGTCAATTATGATTGTTGTATTGACTGCCGATCAACAATTTTTCTTGTAAACTGTTTGTTTACGATGGAAAGGGGATCAGCGTCGTCAAATCAGCAGTCAACTGAGAGATGAATTATGCAACATTCTTGAACACATCAACTCTCCTTCAACTTATGCTCCAACCTTAGGTAGCTCACAATTGGAAACAGAACACATCATTGACTTCTCTATGTGTGGAATTTCACCCTATCGGTTTGGTATAAATTATCTTGCTAATTCATGTCAAAGTCATTCCGGAGTGAGACTATGAGGTGTATATTTGAAGATGTTAGACTTTGATATATATTTTTATTTTCACATTTTGTGTATTATCAATGATATGTATCTAATTTTCATACTGATATTGGACTATTGGTCATAGACGATTCGGAATTTGAATAATACGATTAGAAGAAGGCTTTAAAATTATGCGGTATGTTTGCGCAGTGCATTCTAAATAATCTGATTAAACATATATTTGTCATGAGATTAAGTATGAAAAAATAAAAAAACCCAACTAGAAAACCCAAACAGTAAGGGGAAACAAGGATATTAATAAAGTATGCAATGTGAAAACCACTCTGGACAATAAATTAGTATTACCAAGGTAGGTAACGGGTAAGAACAGGCTATTTATCATTGCTTTCCAGTTTTTGTGTAGCTACGACTTCGATAAACTTTAATACACAGTCTTAAACACATTTTTACAAAACTCATCTCAAAAAACGTATCTGTACAAGCGGTACGTGGATGATGTTATAGTCTTAAGTGATAAATTTGAAGATGTGAACCACTTGTTTAGGGAACTCGATATAAGTCAAAACTTTATTTGTCTAATATGCAAAGAAGAGATGAATGAAGATCCTTTAACCTCCAGGGCAGAGTTTAAATGGTTTAAGTTGTTTTCTCAGTTTAGCATATTTTTAGCAAAGTCATTTTCCACGAGATGAGGTTGCTGATCCCATACCAAACCCTCCAAATTTATTAGGGTTTGTGACCGGCAGTAACCTTAGAAGAGATACAGGAGGAGTTATCATTGTAATATGTGAGGATTTAGTAGCTGGCCTTATAAGTTTTCATGAAATTCTTAATGGTAACTATATGAATAAACCAGTTGCATTTATCTTAGTCCTGATAAGTAGATTAATAAAACTATTACTGAAAATCAACAATTTAACATAGTGTTCAGTTCAACATCAATTAAACCAACCTATAAAAATTTCGAATAATGAATGCAATTCGAGCCATGTGAATGGTTGAAATCAACAATTTACATATATTTGTTAAATAATCCAAAAATAAGCCAATGAGAAATCAGTGTATGACAAATATTAAAAAGTTTCGGTTTGTGAAACAGTATTTAAACGAACCAAATCAAACGACAAAAGTTGTAGACCTCGTAAGACAAAGATATGCTTCCTACCGTCTTATCGACAGTTCCGAAATGCTTGCTATTTTTCATAGCAGTCATACTATCACAGTATAAAATTGAGTGTAAATCGTCATTATTGAATGTAACAGATCCAGAAACTTGGAAGAAGTTGGCAGATGAAAGATTTAATAAATTTGAACAATCATTAACTTATTTATTACTTAAACCACCAAAAAATATCATCTTATTTATTGGTGATGGTATGAGCTTGAACACTGTTACTGGAGCACGATATTTGAAAGCGGAGAAGATGGATGTTTTAGGTGGTGATGTACAGCTAGAATGGGAAAACTGGCCTGTTGCATCACTTGTCCGTACATTCAACTCAGACAGACTGACAACAGAGTCAGGTTCTGCGGCAACTGCTTTTATGTCAGGTAAGTCGTAAGGTGAACAAATGTTTTTAATGAGACAACTACTACTTCATGTCTTATTTAAATTACATTGTCATATTTTAATGCACTTACAACCAAGGAACGATACATGTCCTGTGTGATAAAAATCTGAACATTCCGTTGATCATAGAACAAGGTGTATATTTCAAGCAAATGAATTTAGATGCACTTGAAATGTTTTGTGATTTACTTTTCTGTAGATAGTCTCGTTTATCAAATTGATTCTGTAATTCTTCTGTACAACATAAGCGGAATCTGGAGAATAGATAAATGTATAATTATTTCCAATTAAAAGTCAGATTAATTACCTTTTATGGGAGATGTTATTCAGATCCACGTAGGTGTGGTATAGATCGATTTTGATGTTTCTGATCAGTATTTAATTATCCCATATCCACTAATGAAGTTCGCAATCCATTGAGTACTTATACTGATCCGAGTTTTCCATAATTTTATAATTTGGAGAAAGTCGATTGCAGTATAGATAAAAACTCATCTCCTCTTCTTGGTTTACCTTATCATGAGCTTCGTTGGAGTTCGTATGGGAGGTTAAGACACATAGAGCCAATTAGGTAGAAAATTGATTAGTTATCAATTAGTATTAATAATCACATCAAATTGATTGAAATCAGTAACCGAAAACAATTAGCTCATATCTGAGTGATTCAATAATGTTATTCTCCATGTGATAAAACAAAAGCTTTGTATTTGATCATGAATTCATGAGCTAAATTATGGCGAATAACCAGTGGACAGTGATACTTCTTCTACAATGTTTCCCATTTGGTATTTGTCAATAATGGAAAATATGCCAGACGAAAACTTTTGAAATACTGAATACTCTATATAATGTATTGTAATCGGTCGAAGAGTCGAATCAAAGTTCATTTTAAACAAAGAACATGTTTTGAAGTGTACACATTAAGACTTCAGAAGGTTAAGTGTCAAATACAGTTTTCATAGTTCACTGATATAAGTCAAATGAATGTTGATTTAACTTGAGTTGGAAGTGTAAGATGCTAGTCTATGAGCAAATCATTATACTATCAAAGATGAATGGATTTATTATGATGAGTTGTATGCAAAACCGCACACAGCAATTTGGTTTTCTGTCGTTATTTGATGTGTAACTTTTGCTGCATATTCTGCTGATTTTAAATTATTTTCAGGTGTGAAAGGGCCTTATGATACTGTTGGCATCACGGGAACAGTGAAGTGCTGTGAATGTACTGAGTTGAAAGAAGTGGAAAGAGCGAAATCTTCTCTCATGTATGCCTCTAAAGCAGGATTTTCCACTGGAATAGTTACAACTACGAGGGTTACTCATGCAACACCCGCAGCAGCATATGCCAATATGTTGCATCGAGATTGGGAGTCGGTAGGGTGAGTGCAAATTGTATTCGACAATGATTTTACATTTATGTATAGTTTTAATGTGATAAAGTACATAAATGACGTGTGCAGGTTTTATCGTAATTAACTCCGTTTACAGTTAGTGTTTTGCGTATTTTGTCTGAGTACGACAAACTAAGAAGCAACAATGTTAGAAAACGGTTTTTCCCAATACAATGTGAATGAAATATGTAAAGTTGGTGAGACTAAGATTTCCTTAGAAAAATGATAGTGTAGTATCTATAGTGGTATCTATATATCATAAAGTTCACTTAAGTTTGTGTCCATAAATGATTATAAATTTGAAGTGAAATCTCACATTCATCCAGAAGCTATTAGACATTTATCTATTAAATTGCTTTATTGTTACTTTATGTCAGATTGCCATGATCCTAAATAAAATATTCTTCCCAATGATGACTTTCTTATTCGGGCTCCACACAGTCATAAATAGATAGGTTTGAAACCACCGTTCACCTGTTACGGTCAATAAAATGATAGTGCCATTATCACCTCTACACAAAAATGTTTGGTTCAAAATAGAGAGTAAGAACTTGGGTTTTATGAATGACTTTATAATAAATCCTCTTCAAAATTGTCAAGGGAATCTATGTTGATTGCTTTATCATCTATGTGATCGGCTGCCTCTACCCACGTGACATGTGGATGAAATAAAACACCATTAATTCATTAATCATCTTTAATAATTGACTTGTTTATCTAACTACATACAGAATTTCAAGATGGATTACGGCATTAATGTGCTACAATTGATTCCATAACATTCGGGATAAATAAACCGGTGATAATCACAATAATATATTCAATATCCACAAATTGCATTAGTGTACGAACACAGTGCAATATGAGCATAAGAAAAGGTGTCGTGAACAAATTGCCAACTTATTCACGAATACATATAAGAGCCTACCCACATTAATTTATCTATTCGGCTAACTGTTTGAATAGAAATTACAACCGGTCTTGGTTTTGACAAAATGTGTAAACTTTTGTAGGTCTAGTTTCATTACTATATCTGGTTTAGCAGCAATCAGGAGCAAACATATGCCTTATCTACTTCTTGAGGTAGCTAACTTCTCATTGTTAAATACCAGTGCTTGATGGTGCGACTCAAAATCAGATCGTATACATTGATCTGTAATTGTGGTATATGCTGCTTATGTCGACAGTCATACACAGTTACTTATAGTAGCCGTTGTAGTGAAATGGATGTGGTGTTCATTAGAATTTTGACACAAAACAGTTTATAGTAGTTCGATTAACTTTCACACTGATATCTTCTGACTACCTACACTGAAGCTCCATCTTCGTATTTTCACTGTTGCCACAAGTGACTGACTTCATCATCGTCATCATCATCACTGTCGCTTATTTCTCCTCTCATTCAGACCATCAAGCAAGCGCGGATTCCACTGCGTAGACGCTGCTGCACAACTAATAACAAACGCTTCTCACGTCAACGTCATAATGGGAGGAGGGGCAGCCGAATTCTATGGTCCGTCAGACAATACCACTTTCAACATGAAAGGTAAACGCTCTGATTCACGCAACCTCCTACAAGAATGGAAGGATATGCAGACCGAAATGAATCGCAAGCATGTTCTCTTACATACAAACGATGAGTTTAAACGAATCGACTGGTCTTCGGTTGACTATGTTTTGGGTAGGTTCTATGATTCGTGAGTTTGGCTACATAGTGTTATTGTGAATCAGTAACTAGTAAACAACTCTCTGTTTTTGTTTATGTTTAAAATGAGGCTGCCTGAAGCGTTATCGATTGCACGTGCTGTGTGTTGATTGGACCAATGTGTGTTGAGTTACTGACACTATCATTCATTTTATGGCATTTCATTCAGATATAATATTACACATTGATTTTCAGGTTTGTTTGCTCCGAGTCATTTGGCTTATCAACTGGAAAACGAAGACCAACCAAGTTTAGCAGAAATGACAGAAGCTGCTATCAAAGTACTTTCTCGTAATCCTAAAGGATTTCTTTTGTTAGTGGAAGGGGGTAGGATTGATCATGGGAATCACGAAAATCGAGCCCAGTAAGAAACTTATTATAAATGCAACTATTTCCACAATTAAAACTAATGACAGTCATGATATTTTTGGTCTTTGGTATGAAACTAAACTGATGTCGACTATTCCTTGTCGTTTAATCTAAAGTTCGATGTGGAGTGTTGTTTATAAAAGTTTCCAACACATGTAGTTATCTTTTTAAGTGGATTGATAATATGATTACTTTTCCAAATTCTTACCGATTACAGATATGCATTAACTGAAACTTTGGAGCTCGAAAAAGCTGTCGAGAAAGCATTGTCACTTGTTGATCAACAGGAAACACTACTGCTAGTAACAGCTGACCATTCACATGCATATGGAGTGGTCGGCTATCCGACAAGGAACACAAGTGTGCTAGATGTAGATAATACTGCAAAAGTAAGTGTTAATCCTTTTCCATTTTTAAGCATTTGAGTATCATAATTTCTAATCACTCATGTGTATTTGGAATTCTTCTTCTTTACACGATTATTATTATTATTATTATTGTAATTATTAATAATAATAATGTTGTTCGAATTCACCCTTGTTCGTATCGGCATCGTGTGCTTGATGAAATTTAATTAAATTTTGATGGGAGTTAATGTTGGAGACAGTAAATGGATATGATATGCATAATGGCATGATCGATTTGTCTCGGAGTGCTCGATTTCGAAATCATTAATTTGTAACTGAAAATGACCTCATTGAATGTATCCAACGGAAAATTGACGTAAATACGTGTTTTCACAAATAACTGTTTAACAACTAAATGTCATTAATATGATGATAATTCACCAATTATGGTGTTGACTATAATTTATACTGTATGTTTACGTGCGAAATCTAAGTTGTGGTCAGCTGGTGATGAGAAGTCACAATCACCTTGACGTTCACTTGTCTTTGTAAATGGGTTTATATTCGAAAAGTATAAAGTAGATTTTCTGATGTATCACAGAAATTAATGGTATTTTCACTGTATCACACAGTAACGTTTCTTCGAAACAGTTAATATAGTCACTGAATATCTACTCTTCTTTACATTGGGAAATCAAAATGTTGAAAGATTTTGAGGAAAATTATAGTCATTTAGAACAACCTAGTTATTTTTCAAAATATCCCAACTTACACGTCTCTGTCATCGATAATATTATAACGGATTCGAATAGTGTGTAATATACAATTAAAGTAGACCATATAAGAAACATTGATACACTCAGTGGAATGAAATTATCTAATATTGCTTTGTTTTGTGTTACAGGGAGATGATAATAAATCATATCTCATATCTTCCTATTTCAATGGACCAAGAGGTATATTGAATGCACCTCGATCGGATCCGGCAACAGAAGATAGATTTGCAAGCAACTATACCGCAGAATCATTAGTGAGACTCAGTTTTTCTACACACAGTGCTGAGGATGTACCGATTTATGCTAATGGACCTTACAGTGAACTATTTCATTCTTCATTGGATAACACATTTATTGCACATGCAACCATGTACTCGCTGTGTATCGGACCATACACGAATCAGTCACATTGTAACAAAGGAAACAATGGATCTCAACTCAGAGGACTTCATCTGAATAACTTTTATTATTTACTATTTCTCAGTGTTATTTTGTACACTTTCATACATTAGTGCATATTTTGTGGTATTTTGTTCAAATTATTAATTTCATGTGTTTCATGTAAGCATATTTGTTATTTGTAATATTTATCAGGTTAGATTACATAAGGATTCATTAAATGAATTATGAATATACAAACATGTATTTTGTGAATGAGTTTGTCATTCATATGCAGTTCATATTCTGTTTATCTGTTTTTGATATTCATATTTATATAAGAATCTGTCAAAGTGAAAATCGAAATTGTTATCATCACTTAAATTACAGTGTCAGACCTTCAGTACCAATACAGACATTCATTGCAGTATCGTTGATATACTAGAATTTCGACTCCTTCCCACACTTTCTAAGACAGTTCGTTAAACAATCACTAAACACCACTTTCTTGAATTAATTCGGGACTTGGATAACGTCAAAACTATCTGTAGTAATGTATTTGTTAAAGATTATTTTATTAATGGAGTGGTGAATAACATGTTGGCTCATACTGGTTGATAATCAAGAAAAATGCAAAATACTCTATTTCTGGTTGCAAGTATTATGAGTATTGCATTGTATTTCAACTAGACAGCTACCGAGAGGCCTAATTTATGAGCATAATTGTTTCACAGTCATACATATAATAAGAGTGAAGTATGAATTGACTTGAACAACTTTGTAAATTGTCAATAAACTTCAAGGTTTAATCTGACTTGTATAGAAGACACTTATGCACAAATCCAACTCGTACAGATTAAGTGAAATTATACAATAATTTCATTTCTTGGGTAAGTTCATTCGGTGTTGTGATCCTTCAAAAGCTTGGTTTATTGTGATGATTGCTTCAGATGAAAGTAGGTATTTCAGAACTAGTTCACAAAAACAGTATCTACCAATTCGTTATAGTCAGAATGAAAGTGGTTCTCTTCAAATGTTCTGTTTTCTCTATGTGTCCTTGCAATGAATGTTGTACTAGTTCGATCTTTAAACACATGACTGGTTGACTTGGTCCTCATTGGTTGATTGATTAAATCCCTAACGTCCAAAGGACTTTTTAAATCTGAATTTTTGATACTATTCATCTTCATAGATGTCAATGTGCAATGAAGAAAGTTTACGAACTATTTCGCAGTTAAGTTTTCGGGACTAGAATATTTTCTTCAATCCGTTCATGAAATACTATTATTACCACTGTTTGTACATTACACTGATATTATTTCTTCTCTGACACTAACTTGGAAAGATTTACACCGGTGACTATATAGCAAACGATTAGTAAAATGATGATGCCATTAAATATTTTAATAGTGTTATCACTGAGAATACTCGCAAGAATTCACTTCTCTTTTTTAAATTATGGGTGTTTAATTTGATTAGTTTAAATAAAATGTCTAAAACAATTGGCACATATATGACAACATATCTATTCCCGTAATTTTGCTTTTGTTTCACCGTGCTCTCCATTTTCATTTTCTCTCCAGTTATAGATACTCTGTAAGTACATAAGCAACAATGAGATAAACATTGAGATACATGAGGTTTATTTGAAGGAACTATTACTATGTTGCACTTGCAATGTACAGTTCACATTCAGCGATGTAATCCATAGACAGAAGGATGGTATAGCAATGGGATCCCCACTTAGTCCATTACTGGCAGATTGCTTCATGGCCAGTTTGGAAAACAACCAACTCAAAAGAATTATAGAAAACCTCCACTTGTATAAAAGGTATGTGGATGATATCTTTATCATCTGTGACAACAAATGTAACTTAAGTGAGACATTTAATAATTGTCACCCATCAATAAAATTCACACTTGAAGTTGAAAGCAAACAAAATATTCACTTCTTTGATGTAGATATGACAAGAAAACAAGATGGTACTTTAAAAAGATCTATCTACAGGAAACCCATGTGGAATGGCCAACTATAACATTTCCACAGTTGGGTTCTCATCAGCCGAAAAAGAAACCTAATAATAACTCTCGTCACAAGAATATGAAGAATCTGTAGCCCCGATGTCGTACAGGAAGAAGTGAGCTTTTTAAAAGAGATACTTATCAAAAACGGATATCCTTCTATATTCATTGATAAGAACATGAAGCCAAAAATGTCAAAATCACAAACAATTACAGCAGAAAAGAAAATTTTATACATGAACATCGATTTCAAAGGTGATAGAGACGCATATATCTTAAAGAGGAGAATTCCGGATTCTTTAAAAAGAACACTCTTCGCAGCAACATTGCGGATATTATTCTCTAGCCGATCACTGTTCACCAATAATCTGGAAGATAAATTATCGCATATGACCAACTCAGTTTGCATTTACCAATTTACCTGCTCTTGTGGAGCTAGGTATATAGGTTGTTCGATGCATATTTTATCCAAAAGAACATTGTCCGGCGTGGCTAAAAAGAGGAGGCAACGGCTCAATAAGAAGTTCTATAATCGAAAACCTTGTGAACACAGGTCACTCAATCAAGACAGACTCTGCGTTCAAAGTCATCTACAAGGTAAGTAGAAGCCTTCCTAAGACAATTAGACTGCATCTTTTTTGCATTGCCGAGGCAATAGCCATACATTTTGAAAAACCAGAATTGTGTACAAAAGAGACTGGTACAACCTCTTCTTCTATCATGGTCTTAATGTATTAAAAAAAATTTCTCTTTCTTCATACTCTTGTTCCCTTACAGCCACCTGCTTCACCTTCCATCTTCCCTTCAAATCTTCTACCCCCAACGGGTTTGTCTTTATTGCCACGATCATTCCGATCATATTTCATCTCTGTTTCAACATTTTATTTTATCATGCTGAGCCATCATTACCCAATGAATACTTCAGCCATTAACTATCAAACGATTATTAAACTTTCCTTGTTTAAAATTTTTTTACCTTTGTTTATTTAACCTCACCGTCACCATGTATAACAGAAGTTTATTATCAGTATTATTATCACCCTGTAAAAATAAGTATATATATTTGCGATTGTACAGCTTTGAAAATGAATTCGCCGAAAAGAGAACTCTTCGCTGAACTAATCTTTCTTTCTTACTCTGTAAAGTTACTGGTTTAACTCTACGATACACTAAATGTGGTTTCGCATAAGTTTAAATTCTCACCCTAAGAATGTACTGCTCTCAAATCTTTTTTACTTCACATTATTATAAACCCTGTGACAAACGCACCCTTGAAACAGTTTATAAATCACATCTCTTTAAATAATTTACACTTATACATGTTACATTCCTTTATGAGTCAATCTGATCATGCCTATAAACCTGCATTGTTTTAGTATTACTGTCGGAATATATTGTATTTGTGTTTTCAACATTTCCTCTTGCACCGTATCAAAAAGAGAATTCATCACTTCAAAGACTGAGAACATAAAAATGTACCCACCAATTAGTCATATGATGGCTTTTGTAGTGGAAGTACACAATTCAGATTTCCTTCACGCTGTTTCTAGTATGACCAAAACTAATCGTCAATGCAAGAGGTTGTAGTGACTTGCTTTTATCACGAGAACACGATTGGTTTAATGAAAACAATTATTATTATAACCAATTGTACCAGTGACTGTTTTACTGTGCGCGTTTGTTTAACTGTGCTAATGACAGATATATTTTGCTTCCATTACTCTTCATTACTTTTTTCGCGGATTGTGACCTCGTACGTTCGTACTCTTGCTCGCTGATTTCCCTTGTACTTCTTTTGACACGATCTTGGTATTCGTTCGATACCACGAGATCGCCAACGAAATAAATCTGGTTACGTTCAATCTT